AGAGTAGAGTAGAGTAGAGTAGAGTAGAGTAGAGTAGAGTAGAGTAGAGTAGAGTAGAGTAGAGTAGAGTAGAGTAGAGTAAAGAATAGAATAGAAACAATAGAAGAATAGATAAGAATAGGTTATCCAACCTCTTCTTAAAGACTTCCAGTGTTGGATCAGCCACAACTTCTGGAGGCAAGTTCTTCCACTGATTAATTGTTCTAAATGCCTGGAAATTTCTCCTTAGTTCTAGGTTGCTTCTCTCCTTGATTAGTTTCCACCCATCGCTTCTTGCCCTACCCTCAAGTGCTTTCGAGAATAGCTTGACTCCCCTGAGATATTGGAAGACTGCTATCATGTCTCTCCTAGTCCTTCTTTTCATCCGACTAGACATACCCAATTTCTGCAAACGATTCTTCATATGTTTTAGCCTCCAGTCCCCTAATCATCTTTGCTGCTCTTCTCTGCACTCTTTCTAGAGTCTCCACATCTGTTTTACATCGTGGTGACCAAAACTGGATGTGGGATTCCAAGTGTGGCCTTACCAAGGCCTTATAAAGTGGTATTAATCCTTCACGTGATCTTCTTCACGTGATTCTATCCCTCTGTTGATGTAGCCTAGAACTGTGTTGGCTTTCTTAGCAGCTGCTGCCCAGAACTGGCTAATATTTAAATGGTTGTCCATTTGAGGATGTTTGAGGGTGATATGGAGATTGTCACAGGATGTCGGTTCTCCCAAGCAAAACAGCTTTTTGCAATTGACTGATGGCGGAAGTTTATCAATGCCAATGGCACCCAAGTATTATTAGTTTTGTTTTACCTGTAAGCAGAGGCAGAAAGAAACTGGAAAAGTCACGAGGAGGCATAGAACTGACAAGACCAGCAGGAACAATTCTCCCCGAGCCAAATTATCTTCTGGATCTTTTGGGGCAAGAGAAAGGAAGAAGAGAAACAAAAAAAAAGTTGTGTTTTGGGAAGTTGGATGCAACAGTCGTCTTCACCAAAAATATGAGGGGTGCTTGGTGCTCTCTGAGCTGGGTAGTTTCCTTGGGGACGTTTCGTTAGCCAAACTAGGTAACATCATCAGTGCTAAAAGCAGGGGAGTTTGTGGAGAGGAGGAGAAATAGGAGAAGGAAGAAGGAAAAAGGGAGAAGAGAAGGAGAGGAAGAGAGGAAGANGGGCATAATTGAGCAAAAAATGGCCCTGTTTTCACTCATTTCTGCCCTCCCCAGCCCCCAGGAGCACTCTGCAAGGCTCCTAAAAGGTCCGCACAGCCATTTTGGTGGGGAAAAAAAGGGGGGGGGGTTCAGGAGGCAAAGAAAATGCTGTATTCAGTGCATAAGACGCACCCAGATTTTCAGCCTCTTTTTTGAGAGAAAAAGGTGCGCCTTATACTCTGAAAAAGACGGTAATGCTCTGGAAAAGGTAAACCTATCGTCACAATTCTGTTATAGGGCTTTAAGTCTATAGTATTTGTTCTGCAGCTTCACAGACAACGTTTGAAATTGTTATCTTCAGAAAGTCTGAACTCAAAATGCTCTAAAATCCTTACTGAATTTATCCATGAAACACGCTTCAGATGATGACTAATTTAACTAATTTTTCTGACCTTGCACTATTTATCAGATGATAATTTAATGGAGCAGCTTCGGGGACTTCAAAATGTCATGTCCATCACGATATCATTATGCAAAGGCCACAATTTAGTACTTGTGTCACAATATGTTGCACAAATATGTAAGTCACATCATGGCAACATCAGTTGTCCCCCTATGCTTTTCCCAGCCTCCTAATAGGCTGAGTCTGCACAGCACACATTACCCTATAGAAGCCGAGCAAAATCACGAAGCAGACTCCTTGTCCCGACAGAACTTCTTTTTATTAAGCTAATGTGATTTCCTCTCATTCACATCCAGCAAAGTCCCGGCAAACAATCTTTCAAGGGCGAATTTACAACCACAGACCTTATCAGGCTTGGAGAGCTGCCAGGCCAATATCTTCCAAATATAACACTGTACAAGAAAATACTTGGCCAGGAGTCTGTGACAGTAACAAACAAATCTTCACACTAATTAAATGAACAAATGGTCTCCTACAAACCCCACTCCCCTTTCACTACTCTTTATTCCCTATGGCAGGGGCCATTCACCATCAACCTGTGCCTTTAATTCCCAAGTCGGCCCTTGATCCTTAACTGTTCCCTTCTCCTGGCACCTCTGTGGATGCACACATCGGGAACAGGCTCCAGCTGCTCTTCTGCCCCACTGAACTCCAACTCTGAAGGCAGCTGATAAGTGGCAGACGGACCTGGCCCCATCTCTGCCTCTGACGCAGAGCCCTCATCAGAGCCTTCCCCAGGCTCCAGGACTGGCCCATGTTCCTCCCCAACCTCCTCACTATCTGAGTCTTATACCAGCCTGCACTGGCCACTGGTGGGCCACAACAGTAGTTATATTTATGTAAAAGAAGACTGCAACTGATTTGATAGGCCCTAACATGATTTCCTTAGCATGATGTGCATTTATGATTTGCAAACCATTTTTATGGTGCAGTCACTGCGCTGTATGGAGTCCCTGCCCCCCCCCCCATTTGCAATATATAGTCCCTGTACCCCCAATTGGCAATTTGTAATTCATACAATTTGTATCAGCAAGACTGATCAACACTTGACAAAGTTTTGGCAATATGATTTTCCTAAAAACTTTGCTAAGAAAGAGGGAAATAGAATATTAAGACTCTGCAAGCCAAAATTATAAACCATTCTCCTCCGAAGAAAACCAATCCAAAGCCTGAAAATATTCAGCCTAAACCCCTAGTGATGCTACTACATCAACAAACATCTTCTTGCATGTCCTTGAGGCCAAAACACTTTGGAAAAATAATTATTCCACTGAGGCCAAGAAAGGGCTTCCTCTTTCTTATTTAAAATTGAACCCAGCCAATTATAGCTTTAGAAAAAAAAAAACCAAAGTAAATGCTGCGATTCATTGTCACAAATGAACATCTCTCAGGAATCTTGTCCCAAGTTCTTGGTGGCCTTCATACCAATAGCTTAAATCTGAACTAGAAGCATACTGGGTACCTGTGCAGATATTTTAACAGGTGGCCACTTGGGGGAGACACAGAACAACTTTTTGTCTTAACCCTCTTACATCTTGACCAACTTGGCACCTCTTCTATCTCCATCACTTCTTCATCCATGCCAACCTTTCTCTGTCTCCCAGCTGGAGCTTTGTAGGATCCTCGCTGGGTGTAACTTGCATGGGTTTCATCACTGGCGCTCTCGGTTTCTGGATGCCTCTGTTCCTTTACAGAGCTGAGGTTGTTTTGGGTATTAGACAACCATGCAGCAAAGAACCATGTGAAAGCCACAATAGGTAAGGCAAACACTTGTCTTAAATGCTTATTTGTTTGATTTTTATCCTGCCTTTATTTTTGGCCAACAAGATGGCACACATACATGAGGTTTCCCTCTTCTTGTTTCCCCATAACAACACCTTGTGAGGTCAGTTGGGTTGGGAGAGGAGGAGTGGCTCAAAGTCACACAGAGGGTTGTTATGCTTAAGGGGCAGACAGACACTAGAATTCACAGTCTCTCAGTTTCCATCCCAGCCTTTAGCCACCACACCCCACCTCTCGAAAAACCTTGAAAAGCTAATGGAGATTGTAGGAGATGCCTGGAAAGATTTGTGGGATTTCTCTAGTTCTGCTGGCTCTTTGGACTGATAGAAAAAGTCCTAAGCATAGCAAGGAAGTCAAAGGAAAGCAAGACTTTTTGGCAAAGTCCAAGTGACGAGAATGCAAGACGAGGCAAGAAACAGGACCTTGGATAGCTCCAGATACATTTTGCTGAGATTTTTCTCTGTTAAAATTATTGGCTGGGTTTGCTGGGCACAATTATCCAGAAATCTTGGTCAGTCAATGCAATATACATTGAGCCCTTTTATCCTCATCAATTTCAGTATTTAAATGAGATTAGAACTTTAGCATATTGTTCAAATCTGAAAATGGTTGCCAGATTAGAGTATTTTAAGTGAGCTGATTTAAGTGAGAACTATTAACCAGTTGAATGACTTGCCTCAGAAGTTGTGGATGCTCCATCATGGAAGGCTTTTAAGAAGAGACTGGACAGTTTGTCTGGAATGGTATAGGGTTTCCTGCTTGAGCAGGGGGCTGGACTAGAAGATCTCTAAAGTCCCTTCCAACTCTGTTACTCTGCTAAATACTGATAAGTTTATTGTTGATTAGGATAGTGGACTTCAGATTAACTAATAAGCTGCTGCTTCAAGTTCAAATGACAGAATAAACCAGAAACCTGCTCAAGGAAACTTCTGCAGCAGGAGCAAAATGGAACTGGGTACATTTTAATATGCATATTGCCATTGACAAGATGTTACCTCTGCAACACTCGTCTAGCATGGGGGCTGGAGGGGGTGCAAAGAAACCGTAACCCTGAATGAATCACTACGATTTCTTTCAAATAAAAGAAGGAAAAGGAAAAAAAAGGAATGGCTACGATAAGGCCCTGAAAAAATGATATAGTCTTCCTTGTTTTATGGCAGCCTTCCCAAATATGACATGCCTTTATGTAGTTTGGATGTCAGTTCTCGACCACCCTAGCTGGCGGGGCTGAAGGCAATTGCACCCTAAAATTTATCTATCATCTCTCCCTCTCTTTCTCTTCCTCCCTCCCCCCTCTCTCCCTCCCTCCCTCTCTCCCTCCCTCCCTCCTTCACTCTCTCCCTCCCTCCAATTTATCTGGGATAAAGGGAGTTGCACCCTAAAATTTATCTCTCTCTCTTTCTCTCCCTCCCTCCCTCTCTCTGCCTCCCTCCCTCTCTCTCTCCCTCTCTCCAATTTATCTGGGCTGAAGGGAGTTGCACCCTAAAATTTATCTATCTATCTCTCTTTCTCTCCCTCCCTCCCTCTCTCTCCTTCCCTCCCTCCCTCTCTCTCTCCCTCCCTCCAATTTATCTGGGCTGAAAAGAGTTGCACCCTAAAATTTATCTATCATCTCTCTCTTTTCTTCTTCCTCCCTCTCTCTCCCTCTCCTACTCCCTCCCCCTCTCTCTCTTTCCCTCCCTCCCTCTCCCCCGGTCTCATTTNATGTAAACATTTAATAATACAATGCGATGTTGGCTATGTAATAATATATATGTGGTTGTATGTTATGAAAATGGAAAAATAAAATAAAAACTTTTACAAATATAAACAATAAAGTAAACTGGGCATACTCCAATGGCAGCCCTTTTCTAGTCACTGCGTTTATAATGAGGTTTCGGGCCCCATGAAGTTTGGACTACTTTTGGGACTATTAGACACGTAAAGAAATGGCAGTTTACGTCTTTTCTTTGTTTTTCACTTGTTTTTCACTCTTCTTGGAACCTCTTGTTTCAGGCATTGAGAACAAAAGCTTCGACTTTCAATGAGAAATGGCAATCTGACATTTCTACCTCTATTCCCGTTTTCCATCGTTGCAAAGAAGGAAAAGGCCTGAAATTGACACATCCTCCATGTTAAGTCGATGGTGACAGCAGCAACCCTTCCGTGATTGAACACCTTAGCCTGACATTGAAAACGTGCTCCAATTTCCTCATGTCAGAATCGCCGGAAGAGCCTGCTAAGGAATCTAGCGGGGGCAGAAGGCAAATCTATCAAGCAAGGGCTCTTTCTGCATATGCCACACAATCATTGTGAACCAGTTGAAACAATAGGGCGATTTCTCCTCTGTTGAAATTTGGAATGCAGTAAAATGGAGGTTCCTCTTACTGGGTGGGCCTCTAGTTATGTGGAGAACATGTGTGTATTTTGTGATGGATCCTTTGGGCTTTCATCTCAGACCCCTCCCCAATCTTTGCAAACAAAATGTTTCCTTCTTATTACTTGTCAAAAAACATAATGCACTGAGGTAGTCCTTGATTTATGACCTTGACCAAAATTAGGACCAGAATTTCCATTGCTAAGCAAGGGTTTTATTAAGTGTAAAAGGTAAAGGTTCCCCTCAGACATACCGTATTTCTCGGATTATAAGACGCATCCTGATTTTGAAGAGGTAAATTTTTTAAAAAAATTGCATCTGCAGGCTTACCAAACCCTCTGCAAGCCTTATTTTTTGCAAAAAAACAAAAACAAAAAAACAGGGCATGCAGAGGCTTTGGGAGGCTTGTAGAGTGCTCCTGGGGGCTGGGAGGGGGGCGCAAAATGAGCAAAAACAGTCTGTTTTTTGCTCGTTTTTGCCATCCCCAGCCCCCAGGGCGCACTTTGCAGGCCTCCCAAACCCTCTGCATGCCTCATTTTTTGTAAAAAAAACAAAAAAACAGGGCATGCAGAGGCTTTGGGAGGCTTGTAGAGTGCTCCTGGGGGCTGGGAGGGGGGCGCAAAATGAGCAAAAACAGTCTGTTTTTTGCTCGTTTTTGCCATCCCCAGCCCCCAGGGCGCACTTTGCAGGCCTCCCAAACCCTCTGCACATTCATTTTTGTGAAGGGGGCAGCATTTCGGTAGGTCAAAAATGCTGTATTCAGTCTATAAGACATACCCAGATTTTCACATTTTGGGGGGGGGGAAAGGTGCATCTTATACTCTGAAAAATATGGCATGTGCTAGTTGTTCCTGACTCTAGGGGGTGGTGCTCATCTCCATTTCAAAGCTAAGAGCCAGCACTGTCCAAAGATGTCTCTGTGGTTATGTGGCCAACATGACTAAACCAGGGGTGGTATTCCGCCAGTTCTGACAGGTTCTGTAGAACCAGTAGCGGAAATTTTGACAGTGGGAAGGGAATGGGGATTTTGCAGTATCCTTCCCCTGCCACGCCCCCAAAGCCATGCCCACATAACGAATTTTGACTCCCACGACTGGACTAAACAGCGAAGGCGCACGGAACACTGTTAACTTCCCACTAAAGGTGGTTCCTATTTTTCTACTTGCATTTTTTACGTCCTTTCAAATTGCTAGGGGGGCAAAAGCTGGGACAAGTAACTGGAGCTCATTCCGCTACGCGGCACTAAGGATTCAAACCACCGAACTGTCGACTTTTCTGATGAACAAGCTCAGCGTCTTAGCCACCATGTCCCTCGTTAATTATTAATTATTAAGTGTCATGTTCAATTTCATAACCTTTTTTTTTGCAACGGCTGTTCAGTAAATCATTACAGCTTTTAAGTGAAACATGTGGTCATTAAGCAGATCCAGCTTCCCCCAGTGACTTTACTTGTTGGAAGCCGGCTGGGAAGGTCACTGTTCTAGCTGAGAGAACACAGTCAGACAAACAGAGGTGAGCCAGGACTTCAAGTCAGCTAACAGTTTATTTCTAACAGGTTGCCTAACGTGGCACTTCACAATTCGCGCGTATTAGCTAACTGGCAATAGCTGAGCCCTGTTTGACAGCTCTTTATATACCCCAGCTGTCAAACAGGTAACCAATCAGTAACAAGGACACNTGGTGAGACTCTAGAAAAAGTGCAGAGAAGAGCAAACAAGATGATTAGGGGATTGGAGGCTAAACATATGAAGAACAGTTGCAGGAACTGGGCATGGCTAGTCTAGTGAAGTGAAGGACCAGGGGAGACATGATAGCAGTCTTCCAATATTAGAGGGGCTGCCACAGAGAGGAAGGGATCAAGTTATTTTCCAAAGCACCCAAAGGCCAGACAAGGAATAATGGATCGAAACTGATCAATGAGAGATTCAACCTAGAAATAAGGAGAAATTTTCTGACAGTGAGAACAATCAACCAGTGGAGCAGAAGTTGCATTCAGAAGTTGTGGGAACTTCATCACTGGAGGCTTTCAAGAAAAGATTGGACTGCCATTTGTTAGAAACAGTGTAGGGTCTCCTGCTTTTGGGGTGTGTGTGTTGGACTAGATGACCTACAAGGTCCTTCCAACTCTGTTAATCTGTTGACATTCAGGAGGAGAGGCAGCATCAGAACTTCCACTTATTATTGTTTTCACCAACAATTAAACAAGATAGATATAGACGCAACATTTTTACAATATGCATTTAATATTGGGTTGGTGTGGGAGTTTAGAGCCCTGTGCAAACTGCCATTATGGTCGAGTTATTGTTTAATGTATTGTGGGAGTCCAGAAAACAGGTCAGCTCAATAACCTGATTCTGTCTTTTCTGAACACAGCTATTTTTTTTTCCTGGAGGGATGACTGCATTCAGCTGCTGCAGTGAATGCAATAAAGTATCTTGTGGCATTTAAAATGTTGTTGATGTGGATTGGAGCCCGTTGGGCTGATGACATTATCTGCAGAGCTTTTCAGAGGAAGGTCTGCAATCAGAACCTCTTGCACTCCAAAGACTTTTATCCTACACTCCAAGATTTCTTTCCATAAATCTGGGCCGAGAAATATCATACAGTAGCTCAGATGCACCGGAGATTGATTAAAATTCACTTTTTAGCATCTCTGGATAAAACTGGGAAAGATGGAGAGATGGCCACTCTGATTTCAATTGAGAAATCTGCATGTAGGTAAATTAAGGGAGATTTCTGATTTTCTTTCAACTTTCCATGTAAAAAACAGGAGGGTTGCCTCTCTTTTGTGGAGCAGGGAAAAACCTGCATGCTAATTTGGAAATGGGACGTGGTGGCTCAGTGACTAAGATGCTGAGCTTGTCGATCAGAAAGGTTGGCAGTTTGGCGGTTCGAATCCCGAGCACCACATAACGTAGTGAGCTCCCGTTACTTGTCCCAGCTTCTGTCAACATAGCAATTCGAAAACATGTAAAAATGCAAGTAGAAAAATAGGAACCATTTTGATGGGAAGGTAACAGTGTTCGTTGCTCCTTTGGCATTTAGTCATGCCAGCCACATGACCATGGAGACGTCTTCGGACAGCGCTGGCTCTTCGGCTTTGAAACAGAGATGAGCACCACCCCCTATAAGTTGGGAATGACTAGCACATATGTGCGAGGAGAACCTTTATCTTTTTTAATTGTTTTGGAAGCAGATATTATACTTCTTATCAATCCTAGAACCAGTTCTCATAAGACATTAAATGGCAACCATCAAGTCTCAGATACTGGAAGAAAGACAAAAATGTTGAGAATCATAGACTTAACATTTTACTATCCCATGGATTTTTTCTATCTTACCTGTCATCTTGATACCTTCCAGATGATGCTGGAACTATTAAAGACTATGCGGATTTGAAGACCCGAAATCTAACTTGTTTGGGTGTCTTGAAGGAGATTATTTAGAAAATAATAACTTTGCTTTGAGGATGAATAGATTTGCATATCTCATGTTCCTTAGAAATCTTCCATTTCATGCATTTTTAGAATGATTGCTGTAGTCCCCAACATGCATTCAAACTCCCAGTCCATTTGTCAAAAAAGTCTGAAGCTCCCAGAACATGACCAGAGGCAAGTCCTGAGGCTAAAATTGCTATCTTCATGGCAGAGTAGGTGAACGAGGGATGGAAAAATATAATATAATAAAATATAATATGATATGATATGATATATAACATAATAATACAATACGATAAAGACTAGACTAGACTATAATATAGACTATACTATACACAATACAATACAATACAATACAATACAATACAATACAATACAATACAATACAATACAATACAATACAATGTATTGGGTTGAACTTCCCTCAAAATCTCTAGAAGTTAAACCTGAAGATGGGCAGGGGAGCCCTTCTTGTTTCTGGGTGGAAAAGATCACAGACGTGGACAGCCACACCCTCTGTCTTAGGGAATCCCTTCTGTTTGCAATCTATTGTAGAAAAACACTTTTGTGTGTCTGAAATGGTCTTTCGCCCAAGCAATAAACAGCATTGTGTCTTCTGACAAAAGAGAGGCCCGATTTTCCAGTCCAGATTTTTCTGTGGAAGCAAATGTACCGGAGGCTGTGGATGGAGACTGTTTTCTTGCAGCTCCTTTTATTTTTATGAAATGGGCAAGGAGTTTTAAGCCTTTCTTCGTGCGACATTCAGCAGGTTTCCCAGACAACGAGACCCCTGAGTCTAAGGCTATATAGTTTCCCACGGGCCTTGTCACTCAGGAAACAGGCCAGAAGGACCTGCCAAAGGTCATAATTGTTGGTATTTTCAGTAGGAAAGTATTTTGGGCATTGCATTAATTTCAAAATCTTTGCTTGCCACATTTAAAAATAATGAAGAAGTCAAGCTGCCCTCTTCAGAGAAAACCACTTCAGAGAAATTAGCTGCGAAAAAACCCCTCCCCATTTTGAGGGAGTACAAATCTTTTATTAAATGGAAATGATGGAAAATGTTAGTTTAGCACTATATTAAAACCAGAAACAATTTAAAAATAAATAACCATTGGGATCCCTATTGTGGCACCCACGAGGCACCCATCTGCTCACACGTGCCTATATTGGTACATACTAGCCCACTGCCTGTCTCTTTCCATTTTGCTTTTTTCTTCTTCTTCTTCTTCAAATTAAAGCTTATTTTAACTTTAAACCAAATTACACAGCAAGCTGCAAGCCACCACCTTCCAAAAACCATCTTTATTTCTCAGAATGGCCTTGGATTTCACATAACTGCCATAAGAATTGTTAGAAAATTTATTTCTTTATTTAACAATACAATAGCAGAGTTGGAAGGGACCTTGGAGGTCTTCTAGTCCAACCCCCTGCCTAGGCAGGAAACCCTATACCATTTCAGACAAATNCGTGCTTTCAAACTGCTAGGTTGGCAGAAGCTGGGCAAGTAACGGGAGCTCACTCCGTTACACGACGCTAGGGATTCGAACCACCGAACTGCCGCCCTTTCTGATCATCAAGCTTGGCATCTTAGCCACTGAGCCACCCTTAGCCCTTATGCATTCAGCTAAAAGTATACATTCATTTGGTATACATTCAGTAAAAGTATGGCCAGGGGATATGACAGCTTGGAACGGATAAATATGGCATCAATTATCTGTCTGTAGTATCAGTGTATACTTCTAGTGGGGCATTGGATTGCCCTTCCAATCAACTCATGATGTTCTGAGTCTCTCTTTCTCTGTCTTCTTTAATATTTCAGATTTTTATTGCCCTTGCGGGATTTTTTTTATCTTTAAACTGGGCCATTGTGACTGACATCCTCTTGGTGAGTTCAGTTCAACTGTCATTACTGTCATATTGATTTTGTTGATAATCCAATATTTCTATTCTTAGTTCTCCATGCTCTCTGTTTTCACCTCCCATCAGGCTTCACGTCAGCAAGCACTCGGGGGCGCGGGGGAGGCATGGTGAAAGAGCATGGAATGGCCTAACATGCACTTTGATATGTGTTCACTCAAAGGCAGTCTTGATGGATCTCTCAGGGCATCCATCCGAGGGAAGCATGGACTGATTTGCATCATTAAATTAAGCCATTTGCTGAAATTCTGTTACATGTTGTTACAGAAAGCACCCTACTGACCTGGTGTGTACCAGGCATACAAAAGCTCTTTGCATTTACGTAGGTTTACATATGAACAACCCATTCAATGTCCCTTGATGTTAAATTGAAAACACAGGAGAACTATAAAAACCATATTAATACATCTGTAGCAGCATAACACGTTTGGCTAAGCTGGCTTTAAGTTCAGGGTACCCACTGGGCAGTGGTGGGCTTCAAAAATTTTTTAGAACCTCTTCTGTAAGTGTGGCCTGCTTTGTGGGAGTGGCTTGCTGGCCATGTGACTGGGTGGGAGTGGCTTGCTGGCCATGTGACCAAGTGGGAGTGGCTTGGCAATCATGTGACTGGGTGGGGGTGGCCAACTTGTAAAATGTGGTGAAACTCACTTAACGATGCTCGTTTAGCAACCAAAATGTTGGCTCAGAAACTCTGGCATTTGATGCATGCAAGTCTTAAAGCTGTCAAGTTACAAGACACTTGCACCCCTAACCCTTTAGCAAAAAAAATCTCCAGGGGTTTTCAAACTTGACAGCTTTAAGACTTGTGGACTTCAACTCCCAGAAATCCTCCTCCAGTCATATTGGCTCAGGAACGCTGAATATTTGAAGCACGCAAGTCTTAAAGCTGTCAAGTTACAAGACCTTTGCACCCCTAACCCCTTAGAAAAAAAAAAACCAGGGGTGTTCAAACTTGACAGCTTTAAGACTTGTGGACTTCAACTCCCAGAATTCCTCCTCCAGTCATGTTGGCTCAGGAACTCTGGCATTGAAGTGTGCAAGTCTTAAAGCTGTCAAGTTACCCTAACCCTTTAGAAAAAAAAAGCCCAGGGTGTTCAAACTTGACAGCTTTAAGACTTTAAGGTTTAAATAGGACTCTTAGAGGTGGGCGGGGCTATTGGTGAGCCAGCCAATCAGTGAGCAGCGGGCGGGGCAAGCGTGGTGCAGATGGGCAGGGGGAGGGAGCTGGAACCGGTTCTAAATGGCATGGTAGATTTATGGAACCTCTTCTATAGAAGAGGTTAGAACTGGCAGGAACCCATCCCTGCCACTGGGGAGGGAGCCCAAAGTCCAAAATTGCAGTATAACCACATAATCATGGAGTACCCCTCAGAAAGTATCATTCTCTTCTCTGAAGCAGAAGAGTTCACAAAATCTGCTGATCTAATGACATGTGTGCATAAATATAATCTCTTAATCATGCCAATGGTTACAGGTATAATGAAAATAGTTTGTATTTAAATAGTGGTTTTTTCTACAAAGAATATATACATGTTCTTTAGTTAGACCTCAAACAAACAGCAATCAGCAAATTTACAGCACGGAAACACACACAATGAGAAAGTTATGCCCGAACAGGGCCTCTTCTTATTACAGGCTCTTAAAGTGATAGCAGCCCAAAAACCTTGCTGTTTCATTGCCAGCATTGCATCATTGTAGCAGCTGGCCAGCTCTTAAATCTTTATCCTGACCAGCTTTTATGTACATATCTTTTTTGAAACTTTGCTATTTACAAACTTTGCCATTTACAAAGTTAAAGCATCAATATGCATACCCCTAGCCACTCAACTCGTAACAATGCCAACCAAGTCTACCTGTGATATCTATTCTTCCCTTAGGCAGGTAATCCTCGACTTACAACCTTTCCTTTAGCGACTGTTCAAAGTTACAACGGCACTGAAAAAGTGACTTATGACCGTTCCTCACACTTATGACCATTGCAGCATCCCCGTGGCCGTGTGATGAAAATTTGGATGCTTGCAGTGTCCCAGGGTCATGTGATCACCTTTTTCAAGCTTGCGATAAGCAAAGTCGATGGGGAAAGCTCACTTAACTGGTAACTTAATAACTGGAGTAATTCGCTGAACAACCGTAGCAAGAAAGGTTGTGAAATGGGTTGAAGCCCACTTAACAACTGTTGTGCTTAGCAACAGAGGTTGAATTGTGGTTGTTAAGTCGAGAACTACCTGTAATGCATTTCTGCCAAATGTTTACACAATTTCTTTGATTTTTTCCCCCAGTATGTAGTGAAACCTGCATGTCAGTCAACTGCACTTTCTCTTCAAATTTTTATGAGCCATTTGCTGGGTGATGCTGGCAGCCCCTACTTCATTGGAATTGTAAGTTATGGCAGGATTGGTGGCCTAGATGGGGCAGGGCTGGATGGAAGGGTGACAAGAAAGCATTTTTTTTGATGGGATGAATTGGAAATAGTGCATCATAAACTCATTTTGTTTGGGTTTTAGAGGCCCTTCCTATTGATGGATTAGCTTTGCAATAATCTATCTATGTTTTCGGGATTTTGCCTGTACAGTTTCCTATAATTCTATATAATATTTCAAAATGTGAAGAATTGGAGAATGTAAATAGAGGCATATAATTGAAAGAAAGCTTCCCCGGGCTAGAATATTCATGACTGGGAGACACATGGTAACAAGGTCAGCCAATGAATAGGCATAGCAACTAAGTCAGCCAATGGGAGCTTAAACAGATCAGAGTCTGTGCTGAGAATCAAAACTGAAACTGATCTCTGTCTGCTCAGAACTGAAAACTCCTCTCTGCTGTACTCCTGTTTGTGTTCTGCTTGCAACTTCTACCACGTTGAAATTATCTACTATTGGCACTGTACATTTTTCATCGGTTATTATGTATATAAAGGAGGTAATGAATCCAGCTGAATCAGTTATCTGGGTGTGCTTTCTGGATTTGATTTTTCTGCAACAAACTCTGATACCCTTAACGTAGGACTATTTCTACCCCCGTTTCCGCTTCTGTCTATTTTCATAACCAAACTCTGCCCAGTCTGCATTATCCTCTGTCGCATATAGTCCTTATTTGCCAAAATATTGTCAGTGTGACTCCTGCCGTGGATGGGTTGCCTGTTTAGATATTCCAGAGATCTGACTTGGAATAAGACCACTTGCAGCTTGTACCTGATGGTGACATAAACCCTTTCAACCTATAGATTGCAAATACAATCAAGAGGCACCAAGGAGATGATTCCAGTTTCTGGAATTTCCAGAGTCTTAAATACAGTTTTGTGATTTGCATTTTTATTGGTGTCATTGGAGGAGGCTGTTTCCTCCTGACTGCTGTTCATATTGAAGAAGATTCGAAGAAAGCAGCAGCACCAGCCACACCAGCACCAGTGACACCAGTGCAAGGTCAGTCTTTTTCATTTAATTCTTAGAATCAGAACAGGGTGTTTTGAATGTGATGTTGCTGTTGCCTTAATTCACCTAATGGGGATCCCCAGGGATACCATGAAAAAAATAACTTAAACACTACTTTGCACTAAGACTGATTGTCTGTCTGTCTGTCTGTCTGTCTGTCTNAGACTCCCATGGGACCATGCAGAGGTAACTTTGTAGGTTTGCTGGGTGATGTAATCTTCCCAGGTGCCATGTGGTGAGATGGGTAGAGGGCTAATCCTATCATGTCCTGAGGGCCATGCCTTAATCCCATCACCCTGGAGGTGAAGTGTGTGTGTGGGGGATCTGCAGGAAGCTGCTTTGTCTTTAAAACATGTTTCTCCTTTTCTCCTGCAGGGAAACATAATATTCTGCCTTTTTAATATTTCCTAGAATATTTCATTGTTCCAGGAGAGGGGTGGGTGCTTTCTACAAATGATAAACTGGATGGTATTCGTGCACAGCCCTTAGACAACAAGGCCTATCCTAAGGAAAGCCATGCTCCAATTTTCAGTAGGATTGCAATGGCAGAGTTTATAAGCGGTGTTGAATCATGGTATCTAATAACTAAGGTTGTTTTGCAGCTTCATGTGTCTTGTGAATCTAAAAACCATGATTTGTGGTATGCGTCAACTCAACCAATGTGTCTTTTTTCATCAAACCATGGTTAAAACAAACATGGCTAAGGGTAATAGGAATCCAGCATCACACATTCCTATCTGGTTTATTTTGTAAACTCCGTTATTGCAGTTTGAAAGTCATACTTTTGAACAGCATGGATGAACTTAAATAGTATCTTTTTCTATATGATTAAACAAGCCATGATTTGGGCTAATGAATATATTTAAACCACATAGGTTTACACAGCTTGTAAGTTTAGCATGTTGCATGTGAATACATCCACTAAGTTTAGAACTGATTTTGTTAAGTAACAGAATAACAGAGTTGGAAAGGACCTTGGAGATATTCTGGTCCAACCCTCTGCTCAAGCAGGAAACCCTACACAGCTTCAGACAAATGGTTGTCCAATCTCTTCTTAAAAACGTCCGGTGTTGGAGCATTTACAATTTCTGGAGGCAAGTTGTTCCACTGATAAATTGTTCTAACTGTCAGGAAATTCCTCCTTCGTTCTAGGTTGCTTCTCTCCTTGATTACCGTAGTGTATTCTGAAAATATTTCTTTTCTTTTCACTACCACTTCAGCACTGCTTTCTTCTTCCATCTACAACAGCTCACCAATTCTTCAAAGTTGTTGGATGCAATCCTAAACTTTGACAAGTTGACAAAAGTGATTTACAACTGATGTTTACACTTACAAGCTTTGCAGCATCCCCATGGTCACATGATCAAAATCCTGGAGCTGGGCAACAGACATTTTTTAGGATGGTTGCAGTGTCCCGAGATCATGTGATCACGACTTGCGACCTTCCCGCACACAAGGTCAATGTGGGAAGCCTGATTCACTTAACAACCATGCAATTCACTTAACAACTACAGAGATTTATTTAACAGCCATGTCAAAACATGCAAAACCAGGCGCAACTCATTTAACCACTGTCTTGCTTAGCAATGGAATTTCCAGCTGCAATTGTGGTCATAAATCAAGGACAGTACAGGTCATTTTGTAGGCTGACCTATAATGAGTACATGTTGATGAATTGGTCTCAAGGTAACAATCATGATTCCATTCCCCATTCATCAAAAAGCACAGCTATATTCTCCCATTAAGCAATATGTGAGCGTGGCCGAACGCATCTATCAAAGAGGATGAGTAAGTCCTCTGATACATATCATTTTGGTCTCTCCTTGTGGAGGCTACCCATAACAATATAGCTCAGTGCCTCTGGCACTTAATTAATTCCTGACTTGCCTCAGGTTCTTGGTTTAAAAAGCGACTCCTCTATTATTGTGACCTACATCTTCTCTTCTTTTCCTCTTTTTATGTTGTATAATTAACAGGGCCACAGAATCTACTGTGCAGCATCTTAAACTCATATAGACTAAAACAGCCTGGGAACTAATCCATTGAAAAAAACGTAATTTATCCAAGCCCTTGGTAAACCAGGTGATGCCAGAGATAAAGGGAGGGAACAGCAGGTTTTTTTTCCAGAGAAGGAAGCCTCTTCTGAATCCCTTCCCCTTAATACATACCTGTAATGAAACACCTGACTGACCTTGGGGAAGGGGGGGGGGAGAGTTGCTCCTAGGAAACAATCCGATAAGATTTTCCAAGGCACCTGAGGGCAGAACAAGAAGCAATGGGTGGAAACCAATCAAGGAGAGAAGCAACTTAGAACTGAGGAGAAATTTCCTGACAGTTAGAACAATTAATCAGTGGAACAGAAGTTGCCTCCTGAAGTTGTGAATGCTCCAACACTGGAACTTTCTAAGAAGAGATTAGACAGTCATTTGTCTGAAGTGGTGTAGGGCTTCCTGCCTAGGCCGGGGGTTGGACTAGAAGACCTCCAAGGTCCTTTCCAGAGGCTTTATAGGAGCCTGGGAAGGGTGAAAAGAGCCTCCCCTGCCCCCCCCCGGAGGCCCTCCGGAGGCTTCATGAGTTTCCCTGAAGCGTCCGGAACGCAAAAAAACGGCCCTTATCAGATTACTGATAGTGGGATCATTGCGATGATGAAGAGAAGAGGTGAAAGTGAATCACCCTGGAAAATTCCTCGCTT